ATTGGTCATGGGTGTGACAGCTGAGCTTGAATGCCCATGAAGAAATATGTTTCTCTTCGCCACTAGACATGGGAGATGATACCTTAATGCCGTTAAAAAGGATTCCGTTCTGTGGCTTAAGGTCAGAGACACGCGTACTTTGAACAGTGTGTAACTTAACCTAAATTATCCTGTACGCCTTTATGATACGATGCTTAGACACAGAGGAGGTTAACTTTATAGTATACTTACGTGATACGGAACAAGCCATGTGTATACATCCTCTGGCCGGTCAAGTTTTAGGGAGTTCCCATAGTCAGTAAGAAGCGAATTTACTTTTGTTCAAAGTACGGCGCAAGGGACAAGGGGGACAGGCTGATATTAGTGTACAAAAAGACATCATTAACCCCAGAGCCCGTATGAGGACTAACAGCAAGTGGTTAAACCTGACTAGTTCATCGCCTCGTTACAAGGAACATTGGAAGCTCATGAATATTCCTCACCTTCCACCAGTGAGAGGAGCAGCTCTATTTGTTGGCACGTCGACTTTCTGTACCCGAAACAGGGAAAGGTTGAAGTTCAGATTAGTAATACAAGATGCGGTGCTAACATGCTCTATACTGAGAAGGAAAGAAACAAGGGAAAGATTAATGATAGAAATAAAGAAAAGATGGATAGAGGAAAGGGGTAAAAAACAAAGAATAAAACATATTGAAACAAAAGACGGAATGTGGGATGAACGGAACGGAGAAACGTAGTGGAAAGAAAAAAAGAAAATGAAATGGAAAAGAAAGAAGGAAACATGGCAGAAGCACTACTAATCTCGCACACCTGCGTAGACGCGTGTCATCCGCACTCATTATGAGTTTGGTGGAGAATATTCTGCAAAATACTTCAAGTCCTAGAATTCGTTCTTGGAACGGATGAGAGGTATTCTGGATGTTATAATGTTTTAAAGCGGTACGAGGAAACCGGGATAGCTCAGTCGATCAGCTCGCCGCAATACCTACACAGGGCAATACAAACAGAATAAACGCAAACATTCTCGCCTCGGGCGGGATTTGAGCCCACGACCCCAGTGTTTGTACGGAACGAAGACAGTTCTTGCCTTAGACCACGCGGCCATTATGATCGGCATTAATTAATATTATTATATCATTATTACTAATAAATACAGTATACACAATATTACTGTTAACTTATTTATATCTATGTTATGCTCTGTTTACCTTGTCACTGCCCATGTTTTAGCATGTCATGAACCAGACCTCATGTCCTCTTTCGATGACTTCAACATCCATATTCGAGTGACCTCACAGAAACCTCAACTTCGCGAGTATGGAAAATTTATCGTATTTCGATATACAAGGAGCTTCATGCTGAGCTCTCCTTTAAAGCTTTTGAAACAAATGTTACTGACATTTTGATTTCATTCTGTAAATGAGCTGATTAAAAATCTAAATTATGTGGAACAATGCATTGTGGTCCTTGTAATGTAACATTTGACCCAGTGAGTTTGTGGTTTCACATGCGCTCTAATTGCAATTGTGATCAATAAAATCTAAACAGTTGTACCCCTTGCTTGAAACTATACTGGTATTCATTAAAAATTTTTAATTTTAATTTTAATTTAATTTTTCACAATAGATCCGTTACAGAGCTAGTTCGTTTTAAATCGTTCTCTTCATAATGTGACTCATAATCGACTCCTAGTGTCGTACTTTCAGTGTTGTATGTGTTTTATGGATGTTCCCTTAGTCCCTCTGCTAACATCATACGGAAAGGACCAGGGTCCTGAACTCATAATATTGTCACGTGATTTAGTGACTCTAGACGGTGTTTGGATTGATAATCGTGTTTATTGGGCTCTTATAAGTGCAAATAAATGCGACAGACTCACTGAGTTACACACTCCAAATAATATCACTGTAACTACAGCACACATAAAAGTCTTTTAGGTCTTCACTAGCCGTTGCTCGGTAATGGCTTTCAATGAGAGACTCTTCACTTTCTCTGGATTCCCGAACGGTACCCGGCCTCAGTTACCAGATTCTCACAGCAACAGCTCACAACGTCTGAACTGCAGTNAAGTTTGCTGTTCCCCCAATCCGTCTTCCGAAACATCGTGAAATTTAACTATACGTAGGACGATTAACTGATCCAACATAATCTGTGTGAAAATTATGTTTGGGGACTTCGTCTTATCTGTATGATAGAAGGACAGTCCAAAATCTAAAACAACAGCCTGTCAGTTTTGTTTTAAAAACTCGCCAAATAAACTGGCATTCACGACGGCATTTGTATTATTACATATGGAAGTGTATAGTGCAGCAGGATGCTTAAATATAATATAGTTCGTGTGTGCTTGTATTTAGTTGTTTTTACAGGCCAAATTCTCGGAGTCGAATGTAAAGCTGGATGCAGTTCCACATAAACAAGTTTATTATTTTTGTAATACAGTTTAATCCGCGGTCTTTTTCATGCATCCGTAGATCAGCATTTGATATGCTAGTGAGAACAACGCAGGAAGAATTAAAATGTTGCTTAAAGAAATGTGGGAATATTTGATCTTCGCTTCATGTTGTGTTCTGTTATATTATTTAAGTGTCCATCAACACAGTCTGTGAATGAAAGCAGAGACAATAAAACTTGAGGGTACTCGGCGGTTTAGAGCAACGTCCAGGTTAGTCAGTTGTATCCACCTTGAGAAAGTACCCACAGCCCACCACTTGCTAAACTGTGATTCCTCATTCCTCTTTCGAGACAGCATCATCTGATATGTAGGAAATTTGTTATCCTTTTGTTCCCCAGAAACTTTTAATTGGAGGTAAAACAAATGGCTTCTTGTGAAAGACTGTTCGTTGCGCAACACAAACCCTGCTGTAAATATACAGAATCTAATCACATAGCAAGTAAATTTACGTGCATCTCCAAGGTAACTTATAATTTAGAGCTGTGGGCGATGAATTATGTTCAGAAATCGGTAATTGATAATTAAATTAATGTGTTTTATAACAAATTAAAATGGAATGATGGAATCTAATGTGTGCTCGCATATGGTGATATTACATCTTCTCTATAATGATAAGCTCATTCATTCAGTTGTCATGTGCTTCCCACATGGTGCACTGTACTGTATTCACACTGCGTATGGAGCTGTATCACGTTACCTTTCTCTCGAACGGGGGCGGGGAAATGTCACTTGTGGGCCCGCCATTTGCTTGTCAACTACGCATCTCAGTCTGGTTTGTGTATTTCATAGTGGGGCACGCGGTAGCGTAGTTGGTTGGGGGGCTATGCTACAAGCCGGAAGGTCGCGGGTTCAAGTCCCGATGAGGTCATTGGATTTTTTCAGTTGGCCTAATCCTTCCAGCCGCACTATCGCCCTGGGGTCGACTCAGCCTGTAACAGAAATGGGTACCAGGAATTAATTAAATAATTTTCCTGGGGAGTAGAGCGCGGCCGGCTCGCAAGGCTGACAATCTTACCACCATCTTTGAGCCGATTGTCTAGATAATGTGGGACCCTCAACGTCTCACAACCCTATGGGCCTTCACGGCCTGTTACAGGGATAGCTTTACTTTTTTTTACTTGTGTATTTCATATCCATGTAAACTCTGAATAGTCTATAGCTCTTTTCAGTTATTCATATCATTGATATTAGACCTAACATTACGGGTATTAAGAACGAGTCTGTAAGATGTATTGAAATCTTAACCGTTTCTACTCGAACTTTTACTTTCAGAAAGTTGTGACTTCTTTTCTGCGTCCTCTTCTCTCACTATTCGCTCTCTCGGTTGTAGGAAACGCGTCGACATAGAGTGAATAACTCGTCTCTTTGATAGGAGAGGAAAGCAATTGAAACGCCACAAATAAACAGAAGCTCTCCACGGAATTGAGTTGACTTGTATTCATTTGTTCAATAAATGCATAGTGCATTAGAAATGATCTCGAGCAGTGGGCCTGCCTGCCCGTCAGTGGCCTAAACATGATTCGGAAATCGGACTGTAGCTGCTGCCTCAATAATGTGTTATAGACAGTGTCGCGTAACTTCGAACAAGGCCCTGCATCCCTAGTCAAATCCCGCCCATAGCTTTGGGTGGGAGGAGTTTCTTAACACTTGTTCTTCCACTTTCACCGACCCCACGTGTTTCATTGAAACTACCCTATTCTCTTTTCGAAGAACATATTACAATAATACAAATATATTGACTTCAAATAATTATATACATTTGCAATTACTTGCTTCGTCTGTGAGTATAGACCTGTTTTTTTTTATTGACACTACAGCCCCAGTGGACCCTAGGCCTACCTCCATGAAACTTTCCGTTTCACTTCAGTTTTACTAGATCTTAGACATTCGGTAGGGCTCCTTGGGCGGGTGATCAGCTCGTCGCAGGGTCTCTACCTGTACACAAACACAGAAAAACGCACACAAACATCCATGCCCTGAGTGGGATTCGAATCCACGATCCCGGCTTCCGAGCGAGGGAAGACAGTGCATGCCTTAAACCGCTCGGCTACCATGACCGGCGTGTAGACCTATACCCTTACCTAATTTCTTACTCATTATGTACGATTTAGCGCACAAGGAAACTGACGCTTTTAAACTGAAGATAGAAAACCCGTAAGTATAACCTGCTTCGAAGGTGCCTTACAAACAACTGGCAGCCTGTCACTTCTCGCACCCTCGAATCCACCCCCTTTTCTGAAATTTTTCTTCTGCACATTCAAGGTTACTCTTGGTCTTATTCGATATTACGTGACACTTTCATGCACAATCCTAAATGCGACGTGCTTCGCCATACGATATCATACCCTGCGGTCAGTATACGTGCAGATCTCCATCGGCGTTCTAGCGAACTCTCTGCAAACTTGCCTAGAGTAGCCGGTTACGTTACTGCTCTTAAATACAGAGAGACATTTACCAAAGGTTTGTCTCTCTCCAGTCTCTCCAGTCTTGCTTAGTATATGCACACAGACTCGAATGCTACTCAGCTAAATCCTTGGCGTCTTTTCAGGTCTCCTGTTCCACCGAGCCGTCTTGATGAGCGGTTCAGGTCTGAGTCCATGGGCCCTGGTAGAGAATCCTGCCCGGTACGCACAGCAGGTAGCTCGCCATGCCAACTGTTCGCCAGATCTACCGCAACCACATCTGCTCAAATGCTTGCGTGAGCGTCCACTTGATACGTTACTGGCGACACCTATAGAGGCACCCGAGTTCTCCACAGCCTTCGGGCCCTCAATCGACGGCGTTGTTATTGACAGCGGTGAACCCCCAGGTGGTGGGGGTGGTGGATCCAGCAGTAATACAGATAGTTCCTCAAGATACGGTGACTATGTGAGTGGGAGTGGTAGTTCTGTTAATCCCGGTAGTTCAAGTTCCAGTAGTGACTCTGGATTCAACACATTGAACAGTGTCCTCTTGAGAAAGTCCGTGGTCTCGAAGCTTTCAAGGTATGACCTGCTTCTTGGAGTTGTTAAGGCGGAAGCGTACTTTGCATTTTCTGGAGAGGATGTTCAGTATGGGATCGAAGCGGACAGACGCTCTAGGATATTGAGAACATTTGTGAGGAATACCTACCGGTTCCATCTATCGGAGATACTCGCAACTATTGTCAATGAGTACACAGACTGGGAAAGACCAGTGCAACATCCAATAAACATCAGAGATGAAACATTGGAGGCTTTAAGCGACGCACAAGTAGTGGCACCTGTTGTCCATACAGCGGATCTGCACTCCGCTGCAAGAAGAAATTCCTATCTATACGTCTTCGACTATCAGACGAAGTTTGGAGACTACCCACAGGTAAGAAACCACCTCATACTCATGAAATAAAGTCAGTCATTCTCTGTGTCTTGGTGTTGAGCCCCGACTGAGGCTCATGACCAGATGTTTCTTCTTGTATGAAAGTTACTGTGCTGTCCATGTGGGGCACCCTCTCTGACGAGAGGTCGGGTCAGTCATTTGTAAATCATAGTCGGTAGTATTAAGTCCGTTGTCGGTATATACACTTATTTTACAAAGTTATTCATGATGGCTACTCCACTGTACAATATATACATGGCCTCTGTCAGTCCAGGCTCGGTACAGCAGAGTGCGCCATGTTTCTAATCGGCTGCCTCCTTATTACTTCACAGAAACAACAAAACAGTTGCATAGGTGAACAGGTTAATATATGAAACCGAGCGAATGGGTTGAAGACACAACGCTTGACTTTGTGTCTTTGAAGTACCCACTTCGATTTTCGGCCGGTACACAGATTATTCTGAGGTTTTCATGATTTGCCTCACTCTCTCTGCAGACAGATGATGGAATAGTATCACGAATTCTTCAATCGCCGATTCCTTCCACATATTCCAGTTCTTGTGGCTTATTTCACGACACTGTTAGTAGCTAGAGTATGTATCGTTGAATGTTATGATGATTTAATTATTTGGGAGCTGTCTCATACAAATTGGGCATTTACCTGAAGGAAACCACGAGATACGTCACGATAGCCGGTGCCCAACTGAAATTCCGGTCGCGCGCATTCAAAGTACGAGTCTGGAGGGTCGCCGCTAATCCAGTCCGACCAGTTCTTCCCAGTTCCTTACTTACTTTCTTTTTCCCTTGGCACTACAGCCCCAGTGGGCCTAGGTTCTCCGTTCACTTCGGTTTTTCTAGATCTTACACATTCGGTAGGACTCCTTGGGCGGGTGATCAGCTCGTCGCAAGGCCTCTACCTGTACACGAACACAGAAAAATCCACACACAAACTAAACATCCGTGCCCTGAGTTCACAACTGTGTGGCAAACTTTTCGCTGTTGACGAAGTTGTTGAAACGGGGGTGCGGAAATGGCTGAGACAACAGTCAAAAAGACTACGCTATGGGTTTCGACGCACTGGTAAAGCGGTGGGACAAGTGTCTCATTATTCATACAGGATACGTCGAGAAATAAATGTTTCTTCCAGGTTTGAATGTCACATGTTTTACGTTTTATATTCATTTGTGACCTGTTTCATGACTGTCCCTCGTACAGTTACAAGCTTTTATGCCTATCATTCATGGTTTTCTCTTTAATTAAAACGACATTTCGGAGATTGGACTCTGCCTCCGTGTTCATGCAAAAGGCCTACTCAGTTGGGCCCAGTCAATGAAGCTAGTCCCTATCTCCGGGACTTCAGTAGGCTGATGTCGGAAAAGTCAGTAATTGTATATCGTTCATTACATACGAGTGTGTATATTTATTTTTTTTTGCCCACTTTCCTCATTTCAAAAAAATTGACGTAGCCTTGTGGGTTCACTTGGTAGTCTGTTTGTTCGCCCTCTATCGTTTCAAGACATAGGCTGGATTTGTGGATCTTCTGTTACTGTATCTCTGTGCTGGCCATGGTAGGGTCGCTGTTGCTGCTGTCGTGCGTTTATTGGATCGCCTGTCACTAAGACCGAACATATTGGCTACAGTCAACAGTATGGTGTAAATTTAATAAAATTGGGCGTTCCCTGTTAAGCCTGTGATACAAAACAGGAAGCAGAAACTGACGGAGGAGTCGCATTCTTACATACTGGTATTAACGTACTCCATAGAGCCGTGTCATTCTTGAGGACTCGGCAGTTACAAATTCACAGCTTTTTTATGGAACCCGAAGGTTCATTGCCGTTTACACAAGAGGCTGCTACTGGCCTCTGTCCTGAGCCACATGAATCCAGTCCACACCCTCATATCATGTTTCTCTAAGGAAGTTTAATGTTATTCTCCCATCGACGTCCTGATCATCCTATTTATCTCTTTACTCCTGGATTTTCCTCCATAACACTGACGACATTCATGATGTCCTCATTCGTGCTACATTCCCTGCCCATCTCATCCTCCTTGACAGTTGTTCAACTACTCAAGAACTTCCCAATATGTTACGAAACCCGAAATTTCATTACCCTATTCACAAGAACCCTCCACTTGTCGCAGTCCTGAACCAAATCAGTCCAGTTCATGCCACTCAATACTGTCTCTCTAAGATCCATTTCAATATTATCCACCCACCCACCCACGTCTTGGTCTACCTAGTTGTCTCTTCTGGATTTCTCACCGATATATGCATTCCTCTTCTGCCCCTTTCGTGCTACATTACCTGCCCGTCTCATCCTCCTTCACCTCATAATTCTGATTATACTTGGCGGGGATACAAGTTGTGAAACTGCTCATTGTGGAGTTTTCTCCAACCTCCTATCATTTAATTCCTTTTGGGGCCAGATATTTAGTATGTGTTTTTCCTATAATGCCAGAAGCAAAATTGCACTTCCGGTGTAATTTATATATGCATGCAGGTGCGTTAATATTACTCTGACCTAGATTCGATATGAGACAGGGAAGAATATAACAGCATGGACTAGAATTATATTAACTGGAGGCTGGACACCCCCGCTTGTCAGAAACTGTTGGCAAAAAGAAGGAAACATGTTCCACGTACTCTGTGACGCCAGATCCATGCAGACAAGATCAAAACAGAGCCATCACTACCAGCCAGTACTGCCAAACTCGTGGAACTTTATTCCGAGAACCGTCTTCTGAAACTTCCCGCCCACTAACCAAATGTACGTCTATTTCTGCCAAGGAGAACAGGACGAGAAATGATAACAATGACCTAAGCATCCAGACTGTATTCAGAAATCGGAGGATTGACCGTCATCGTGAAAATCCAGAACTCTGGAAACATATGTTACTTCTCTTTTGGGAGGAGGAGGTTCTTCAAATTTATATTGTTATTTATATATATATTAATATATATTTATATATTATATATATATCCTGTTGCTGTTATTCATTTTTAGCTATTTTTTTCGTGTGTTATTAATACAATTTTTCGTTTTTTTTTTTCAACGGCCATGTGGTTACTGCCAAACTTTCATCCCATTCTTTAGTTCTTGTTATTCGTGCGGCATGTTTCGGCCGAACATGCCCATCTTTAGGTAAATCGTACATTTCACTGTACCGTCCGCCTATCGAGACAAGAACCGATTAAAATGAACTCTCTTCAGGCCAACCAAGAGCACTACAGCCAATAAACATGGGCCAGTGACGACGTAACTGTACCGAGAACGTGTATGTAACCAGGTACATCAATCACTCAACGTCAAACGGACGTTTTCATTCAACATCGGGAGCACCACACACAAGTAACAAGAGAGACAACAGAACTATATCGAATAAAAGTAATCTATCCCTGTAAGAGACCGTGGAGGCCCATTGGGTTGTGAGACGTCGAGACTCCCACATTTTGTAGACATTCAGCTCACAGATGGTGGTGAGGTTGTCAGTCTTAAGCGCCGGTCGCCCTTTACCGCCAGAAAGATTCCTGGTATTCATTTCTGTTAGAGGCTGAGTCGACCCCAGGGCCATAGTGCGGCTGAAAGGATTAGGTAAATTGAAAAAAGTCCAGTGACCTCATCAGGAATCGAACCCGCAACCTTCCGGCTTGTAGCATAGTGCCTCAACCAACTACGCTGCCGTGCGAGGAACTATATCGGATACACATCATTATATACATAATATTTATGTGAGCGTGAGACTTAGAATGAAGTAACAGCACGAATCAGAGATCAGTTCTTGTGTGAGTGTAGATTGACTCTCCCGTCGTATTGATAATGCGTATTATAATATACGTAATTACGTATATTATAATATACGTAATACTCGTATAATACGTATTTTGGTGTGGATATATGAAACGTGTTATACTAGATAATTGAGACGTTTACGATGTACTATTTATGTGTGTTATTTTTGGAATATGGCGTTAAATATCGGCTTCGACGCATCAGTAGATAACGTAGTACTGGAAAAGAATACGGGGGAAATGAGGATAAGTTAATAATAGGAGAACTATCCTAACAAATGATGAGACTTCCTGTCATCTGCGCAATGGATGTTACACTGTATCATTGAGAGGCCGCAGTGTCTTCGCTCTTACTGTGGCTACCAAGTGCTGAAGTAAAGTGTCTTTCGAGTGGTGCATATTAGTGTTCATTAGAATTATACTGTAACGGATTTGATCAACGCGTTGCCAGGCAACAGCTCTGTAAGCACGGTCCAACACGCAACAGTAGAAGAAACTATGTTTTCTATAGATCCGACGGACACGCCAGTAGACTGGCTGGAGAGCAATCACGTGATATATGTTTACTATAGGTCCATATCCACTCCGCGGCTACAATTAAAGATAAGCAGCGACACACACAGAGAGAGCCTACACAGAACAATACCTGAACAGCGATTAAACAAGAAGTAACCGCTGCAGCACTATAGACATAGGGCGTGTACCCCGAGAAAATTTTATTTTTTTAAACATTTGGAAAAAAGAAGATTTATAGACATCTTAATTTGAATTGAAGTTTTAAAAAAAGTGCAAATTTTAGAAATCAAATTGACGCGTATAGGTTAACAAAGATTTTATACATACATACAATTGGAAAGACTGGTGATTTTAAATTTTAAACTACGGGCAGTGTAGCAGCTACGTAAGAATACACACCTGATGATGGCCATTTAGGGCCGAAACATGTATTGTGGAGGAAGGGAAGAAGAAAGGACTACAATAAAATTGTTGCACTTAAGACGGAGTTTGTCTCATATATGTCGTTAAGTAAACCAAGAATAAATACGAATCAGTTATTATTAACCAATCATTTTATATATATGGTTATAACCATGTTGTTTTAACTTTTCCTGGCAAATATTCTTGCGAAAGATACTAACGGCGCTAGTGTAGCTCCACTGTAACACTTTCAAATGCCCGTTATATTGGTATAGCTTTGCAAAGATAATGA